ACAATTTGGATTTATGGTCGTGACTGTGGAGGTGATCTGCAGGTGCTGATCCTATTGGAAATTTGGGATCTTAATCCTATCCTTTAGAGGAACAATATATCACTCTCATAAATCGCATCTAGAGGCTTCAGCTAAGAATGGGTGAATTGGGTCAGAGAAATTTATACTTTGCATGTGTTCTCGTGTGTATAATGATTCTCTATGATTTAATAAATAAATGACACCAACCTAATTGCGGGATTAAAAAAAATTATACCTTAAATATAAATATAAAGTATTCAATTTTGCCTAAAAATTAATAAAATTAAATCTTTATTTTATTAAATAAATGTTTTAACTTTTATAAAACAAATCATTATTGTCTTTTTACTTGACCTTATAAATCTCAAAATTTTACTAATTTGTATATTCTAAAAACTTTAATATATCATATTAATTTTTCAAAATGTTTTTTTGCTATTGATTTTTTGTCTTTATTTTTCTTCTAAAGTAGAAACAGTATATAACAATATATTTTATTATTATATTATTTTATGTATTGTATAATAACTGAAATAACAAGTATATAAATATTTTGTTAAAAAAATTTTTTTCTGTACATAACAAATTTCTTAAAAAAAATTTTTTTTTGAAAATTCACAAAACAAAAGTTAAGGAAAAATAACAAGCTATAACAAAAGCTCTAAAGCTTTCAACTACACATTCTTGTTATATAATATATTTTAAAATATAAAAGAAAAGCAAGTAAAGATTATAGTTTTTCTAGAATACAATCATATACAAAAAAAATTCACCATTATAGCAATCAAGAAATTTGTATTACTATTAACAAACACATTATCAATAGCAATTAACAAACTGCAGAAAAAACCTTTACCACCAATATACAACTAGACAAATTTTTTCAAGATTACCAATAATAACAATAATAAAGTATAGAACATTTTATATAACAAAGCCAAAAATTACTATATCATTGTTCTTTTAAAGTAATATAATAAAAACATATCTTGTTACAATTAACAAAACAGGAATTAAATTTTTTCCTACTTGAGTTTTCAAAGGTTTGCATATGTTAACTTTATTTGCAATAGGTTAGAATTAATCTATTTACTTTATATTTAGAAATTATTAATGTAATAATGTAAAAACAAAATTTTATAAATGTCTTACATTTAATATCTATTTGCAAAAAAAAAAAAACATAAATTAATATAAAAACCAAATAAGCAATCCAACAGAAATAAATTCATGATAGCTAGAATTGATCATACAGATAAAAAAATTGAAAAGAAAAAGATTTGTAAACAGATGTGCTTTATATTCTTAAAAGATAAAAATAAAGAAATCAATAACAATCAAGGCAAATCAAGACCAAATCTTATTTTGACAAAACAATTAAATATAATTAAGGATGTTTTAAGATTATTATTTTATCAAACCTAGTTAAAAAAACAACATATCAAAATTGAAACACATTATTTTTGCTTTCAACTTACTTGAAGAATTATTTATTGTATACAATAAAGAAAAAAGAAAAACATGCATATTATTAATGTTTTTGCAAATTAACATATAGCAGAACATGCCATAACTAAAAATAGGTCTTTAAATTAAAAGTGAGGATATAATTCAAATATTTTTTACTATTAAAAAAGTTTTTTTAAATATAAGGTCAAAAAAAACTATCCACAAAGGTTTTTTGCAATTTAGACCACTTTATCCAAGTATTTTTTGAATTATGTCACTATTAAAGTAATAAATAAATAATTACTATATGTTAATTTTGAAGGGACATAATTGATCTGCAAACTTTTATATGCTAAATAGTTTAGGAACCCATCCTTAGCCATAACCATAATACTTCTAATAAATAAATAACAACAAGCTTATATTTATGAAAACTGGACATCAAAAAATCAATAAGAAAAATTCTATAGTAATATAAGACATTTCTTTGAATACAAAACTAAAAAAAATCAAATATGTATTTTTCAAAATAATCAAATTCAAGGAATCATTCAAAATTTATAACAATGCATCACAATTACTTTCAAAGATCCAAAACACAAGAAAAAACTTATTAATACCAGAAACATCTTTATTAAAGAAGACTTAATAAGAATTAATAATACAGAATAAACACTTCAATAAATGAAGCAGAGACATAAAATAGTAGCAAAATTAACAAATCTTTCCTTTAACACAATAGTATAGAATATCAAAAATATTCTTACACAATGTAAAAATCATAAGTGTTATATTCCTAGATCTGCAAACAGGAAATACAAACCCAAGAGATTTGCAGTCATCAGTTTTGAAACACAGAATAATTTACTAACAGCAGTAAAAATACAATATATTTTAGAAGAAACTATATTCTCCTTTATTTCAATCCCAACAAAGCTATATGTGATATGCAATATAACTTCCTATCTGGCCAAAGACTGCTCCACCAAGAAAAACACATCCAAAGAGACACCTATAACAAAAACCAAGCAATCAAGTCCAGAAACCTTTATAACAAATTCAGATCAGAAAAAACTTTAACAATTTGTAACATTAACAAACCAAAAACATCTAAAATTCTAAGAGCAGGAACATATGCAAAAGGGTTTCACAAACAACTAAACCAGAACAGAAAAATCTAGTAATTCTCAAAGATATTAGCTACATTATTAGAGAAATCCAATAACAACTGAGTATTATCAGACACTAAGTCACAGAACTGGATGAGCACCTTACCAACTTAGAATACTACAATGAAAAATACTACAAAATAATAGATAGTGAATAAATACCAATTTCTTAAGACTTATCCCATACATTCCAACTTAATAACACACAATCTATATTTGAAAATAGCTTTGAAGACCTCAGAAACACCCAAACACAACTCTTCTTCTCCATTGATGAAATGCAAGACAAAATAAATCAAATTTTCTCTACACTGGACACACTAGTCCAGATCTTTACAAATACAAAACTGACAAACAATAATCATGAGTAACTTATACAGCAACCTTAACAACTACAATGAACAACTAAATACAAACATGACAGACAACCAATATATCGACAATATCAACAACCTTCCATTTACAATACAACAACTCGAACAAAGATAATATATATTTTTGGCCTTGTCTAACAAACCTTTAGCTCTCAACAAACCATTATAATACTGGAGTATTATCAAGGTATGACTGGATTATTAATAAATCTAATTGAGGGTCAAAAAACACATGTAAATCAGTTTTTTAGACGTTGGGAAAATCTCGATAAAATTATAATTCACTGCGGTTGTGCGACACTCAATCACTATCTTATTGTACGAAACTTTATTAATAATTTTTGATACATATCAAGTTAGAAAATGTTAGAGAGGCAAATAAAATGAATTATGCTATTAATTAACTAATTACAATAACTTCTAACTACGAGATCTCTCTCTCTGCCTGAAATAAAATTCCCAATTAACATTTACAGTACAATACTCACAAATTTCATGCGTCATTCTCTGCTAGATTTTTTCTATATTCCTAACACCGTAGTGATACCGCTCCTCAACATACCAACGACACTAAAAATATAATTTTCTATAAATTTTCAAAAGATATGTTGCTACTATCACTTAAAGTTCTCATTTAAAATGAGAAAGTGGTGACTAAAATTATTAAGGGTTTAACTTTCTCGATACAATAAAGAATATCGCCATCATTGTAAATAATAGGGATAAGTCATTCATTTGATAATTATATATTATGTCAGGTATCAAATTAAAATTTGTTAGCGAGTTATATTAATAATCAATTTACAATACTGTATATAATATCGATGTATGCAACTAGAAAATATAAAGGCATGGAACCTATCGCTTATTGGTATGTTTCAATCTAAATTATAAGTTCCATTATACCGTAGTCAGAAACTGAATAAAATAAAAATACGTACAATAATTTGAAATGAATCTTACAAGAATTTCAAGAATTTCATCAGCAGATAAACGGCGATTATAATAACGAAAATTGCTATTATAAATGTGATCATTTATAACTAATGTATTTATTGAGAAAACTTGATTGAAAAAAAAAACCAATACCTCATTTTCCCCGCAAAAACTGCATCACCCGCTTCATCCGCTTCACATCCAATATGTAATGGGTGTTTGTTGAATATAACATGTTCCTTATGAACATGTTCAATGCTCTTGGATCCAACCCATTTTCCATTTAAATAGATATCCATGCGTTTACGAGGTTCTGAAAGTGTATAGCCTAAATGATACCATTTATTTAATTCAAGACCAATGGAGATTTCTTCAATTCCAATATTCCATTCATCATTTGTCGAGAATCGAGGGTGAAGTTTTGTAGTGTTTGGCCATATCCAAATACTGGGAGTCCGAGTAGTATTATCGCCTGTATTTATAAAAAAGACTACAAATTACGCAATATTTAGCTACGGTTTTAAAACAACTTTATGTTATATACCTTTTTGAAAGATAGTCTGCCAATTTGTATCAAGTCTCTGAACGTTTAATCGTAAAGTCACTGATAATTCGTTAGTCACGGAGGGTAATTCTCTGTCTTCAACATGCATTTTATTAGTAGGAAAATCTAAGGGATCTGAAAATATCTCCTTATAATTCATCTCTAAAATTTCCGCTTAATAGGTACAGTTTCTCACAAATTGATATTACGCCAGAAATTTCCCAATACGCAAATATTTTTTAAATTCTCAACATGAATTTCACACGAAACACTATTGTAAGACTAACATAACAATATAGACCGTTATTTGTTAGATGTTGCTAGCAAAAAAAAATTAAATTATCAACTGGAAAATATTGTTTGTGAGGCTTCTGAATTTTTTGTAATGAGTACTGTACTACAGTACGATTCTGATTACAGTATAGTATTCTTATATTGTATTCGATAGGAAATCACATGACTATATGCATGTTGTTGATACCGATCAATTTTTACTATTTAAGGTGATTATTTGTCTTATTATAGTAAATGTTACATTAAGAAAAAAGTTCGACTTATTACTGTACCCGTACCTATTTTGTGATGCTCAGTACAGTACAGGTCAACTCTCGATAAAAGAAAGATTAATAATCACTATAATTGGTAGTGTTAATTACTTAATTTATTTTAATGTTAAATGCATCAATTTCAAACTTTCTTTTATCGAAATTGATTTATCGGATATTTTACTGGAATTTAATTAATCACATGTTCTAAACAATACGAATCAAATGATAAGTCACATAGCAGAGATTTTTTTCCCAAAATAAAAGACATGGGGGTGTGTTCTCATACATATTTGTACAGTATACGTGCAGCCGCATTTGAATTGTTTTCGAGTGAAATTTCCGGATCACGGGAACTCCTGCATAAATGCAAAAAAAACGTAAGTTATTGGTTGCACATGACTTAATTACGGATCGTCATGTAGTGGAAAATTCGCGAAATTGCGATTCTATATGCCAGCAAAATAATCCGGAAATATAATTATTACAGTATGGAAATTTCACTCGAAAACAATTCAAATGCAGCTGCACGTATGCTGTAAAAATGCCATACGGGGAACACCCCCCATGTCTTTTATTTTGGGAAAAAAATCTCTGCTAAGTCACATTAAGTATTTATTAATGTATTAAACAATTATAACAAATGCTTTAATTAATTAATTTTATATCAAAGGTGTTCTAGTTAATCTGAGTTATATTCTTTACTTTACTGACGATAAGCATATTTTCATTAATATTTGTTTAGTTAATTTATTTCGAAGGTATTTTAATTGATCTGAGTTATATTCTTTACTTTTAGGGAGTAAGCGCATTTTTATTCTTTACTTTAACGATTACAGGCGGTAAGTATATTTTTATAAAAATTTGTTGAGTGAATTATAAAGTTGTTTAATTAATTTGAATATATTCACTACTTTATAAACTGTAAGCATATTTTCACCAATATTTGTTAAGTAAATTCATATCAAAGATGTTTGATTAATTTGAGTTATATTCTTAACTTTTAGTCGGTAAGCTTACTTTCATTAATATTTGTCGAGTAATTTATATTATGAGTATTTTGGTTTCTCTGAATTATATTCTTTTACTACAACTACAGAATGTACGCATACAGTATTTATTAATACTTGTTAAGTAAATTCATACCGAAGGTGTATTGATTAATCTTATTTATATTCTTTGCTTTTAGTGGTGAGCGTATTTTCATTGATATTTGTTAAGTAAATTAATATAAAAGGTGTTTTAATAGATCTGAGTTATACTATTTAATTTATAATAATCACGGATGGTAGTAAATTTAATTATATCAGCTAAATGAATTAATATCAAAGGTTTTTTAATTGATTCGAGTTATATTTTTTATTTTAGGGATAAGCTTCAATATCTTCTTTTGAGAAATTACTTATTATATCGTCAATATTATTTCTAAAAAATTAAAAAAAAAAACAATAATCAAAACTTACAAACTTATTCTATCTATAATTTTTTTATAATAAACAATGATTTTATTTTACAAAACATGTCACCATTTAAAAAAATTAACTCATCAATATATCGTGATCTAATTAAGAAAGTATAATATCCAAAAAATCTTGAATCAACATATTTGACTTTGAATTATTAAGATTTCAATACCTAACAAATAAAATATACATTTTGTCAAGAATTGGACATTGAATTTATTTAGGAAATTTTTATTATTATTTGAATAAATAATAAATTATTTATTAATTAATGCATATAATTATTAATTTTTAATATAATAATATATACATTATATTTTTTAGTATATATTATAATTTTTTGTAAATTTACAAATTTTTTATCTTTATAAAATAATGGAAAATAATCATTTTCTTTGAAATATGTTAAAAAAATCTTTAAATCATTTTAAGAAAAAAATTTTCAAAACTATTCCTTAATTCTGACTTAATATATTAATCTTCTTTAATAATTTCTTTATAGACTCTTGAAATATGAAAGAAATATTTGTTAATAAAATATTTATAAAAGTTATTGAAGTTTTATACATAGAAAAAAAGATTTACTTTGCTGCTATGCAAATTTTGTTGACTGTTCTGCTATGAGAGAGAAGAATCTACTTTGTCACATGGATTTTGTTAATTATTCTGCTATAGAAGAGAAGAATTTACTTTGCTACAACAAGTTTTGTTGACTGTTCTGCTATAGTAAAGAAGAATTTACTTTGCCATAAGATTTTATTAATAGTAATAATAGCATAGGCATGGACTGTCTGCTTTTGTTTTATGAATAAATGTGTGAAAAATAATATTAATTTTTCATTTATATCTTCATTCATCAAGTTTTTAAAAATTAAGCCAAAACAACTTCTTAATTATTGAAGTATAGCATAAAAATTATTAAATAGATATATATTAATATTGTTTAATACTATACTATGATCTATAAAAAAAATAAGACATATAAATAGTTAAGAAATTACTAATAAAGAAATAAAAAAAATTGTTTACTTGATAAAATATTTTTGCTTAAAGATAAGTTAATATATTATTGATTGAATCTGCAATAAATAAAATAGTAAAATAGTAATTGAATAATTAGAATTACTAATAATTGCACAAAATGTTGTTGGATAAAAGAAAATGATTACTAAATAGAAGATTAAACAAAATATTACCTGGGGACTACTGAACAGAAGATTGAATATAAGGCTATTGAACAGAGAATTAAATATATGACTATTAAATAAAAAATTGATCGAAAGACTGTTAAACAGAATATTGAATAGAAGGCTTCAGAATAGAATATTAAATAAAGCATTGTTAAACAAAATGTTGAACAAAATATTGAATTAAATATTGAATGTATACATGTGGCATAAATTATTTTGCTGTTGACTCAATTCCCAAAATCCTCAAAAATAATTGTGTCATGACTCAATTATTTATATGTTTTAATAGTGACTCAATTAATTGCGTCAAATCATTGCATCAATTGCGTCAAGGATCTACAAATTTCAGCAACATGTATAATTAAATGGAAGGTTAATCGGATGACTATTAAATGAAAAATTAACCAGATGGCTATTGAATAGAAGATTAATCAAATGATTATTAAATGAAAGATTAATTAAATGATTTTAAATAAAAAGTTAATCAAATAACTGTTAAATAAAAGATTAATCAGATAGCTGTTGAACAAAACATTAACTAAATAATTATTGAATAAAATGTTGATTATATGGTAGTTTTTTAGAGAATTGTTAACTATATTATTGAAAGGATTATTGAACAAAAGATTGTAAAGATGATTTTATTTTTGAATTTATTTTTGAAAATGTTTTTGAAAAAAACCATCTGCTTTTATATTTAATTTTTGTATAGCTATAACTTTATAATAAATAAATAGTCATTATATAATCATTATTTATTTTTATTTTATTAATGAATTGTCACTATTTTGCAATAATTCTATTATAATTTAATTAAAGTTACCTTAAAATATCATTATTATAACATTTTATTAATAATTATAGAAATGATATTATTACTATTTTGCAATTAAAAATAGTTACAATATAATTATAATTTGTTTACTATTTTTTTAAAAAAGTTGATAATTATATAATCATTAAAATTATAATTTAATTACAACTAAATGACTGAGATTTTGTCATAATATAGTAAAAACCATTAAATTACAATTGAATCTTTATGAAAATTGTAATTATCACATGATTAGATAATCAAAATTTGATAAGTTTCAGTAAAGAGATTTGAAATACTATTCAAATAATAATGAATTATAATTCACATATTAAATTTAATATAAACCTTAAAGTCAAGAATAAAATAAAATCAAATTGTTAGTATTTCTACTTATAGTTTATTAATTTTAATTTTTATTATTATTGCTTATACTGTATTATTTCTTTTTAAATATATTAGGTATTTATATTATAATAATCAATTTTTCTAATTTATTATTATATAAGATAAAATTAATAAACTTTTACAAACTTTATATCTATAGAAGCCACTTATATAGACGGCTAATAGTATATGCCTCCATAAGAACAATAAGACCCATAAGCCCTATAGGTTAGATAGTTTAAAACTAACAGTAGGATTTCTACCCCCTATAGCCCCCTGGTATCATGAGGAAAGGTTATTAAGTAACAGGCTTCCGGGTACCAGATGAATAAAGTTGATAGGCTAGCATTTAGTTGTAGTCATGTATTACAAAGGATGCTTGATGTAATGGATACATTATTATTAATAAAGAATTTGCATCTAATGCCATTTAACTTTAAAAAAAAAAAAAAACTTTATGTCTATTAATTATATATAATTAATATATACATATAATTGATGTTTTATCTAGTATTAAGTTAAACTTCATATGTTATATTTTGATCTTCTATTATTAAATTTATGTTAACAATATAAAAAAAGACAATATTTAAAATAAATTTTTAGAGTTACAAAAAAATCTTAAATAGCTACTTGAGTAATTATCAATTTATAAATTATAAAGTTTACTTTATAATGTTAAAGAAACATTTGGATCAAATTATTATGGTTATTCTTATAATTCTATAGTATTTGAAAAGGAATAGAAAGTCTTTTATATA